GAGCCTGGCTGCTCAACATGAGGTGATGCATAGGTCTTGGGTAACATACCAATTGGCAATTTCCAAACTCGTCTGGATGATCTTTTAGCAGGAATCCAACCACTGTGGCCCCTGTGATAATAACTACCCCCGATCTGCCTTCCAAAGGCATCAGGTGTGTAAGTCCTGCTTTTCTGTTTATTCAGTGGAGGGGACCCTGCAGAGAGGACAAGCGGCTACTGTCCTCAGCCCCTTTAAGCTAGGGATCCCTCCTTCATGCAAAGGCGTTCCCGGGGGATTTGCTTTCCCTGCAGTTTGTTGGTCATATCTTGCGGAGAAGGGGCTCATTGCCCGGATGCCTGTTCTACCCTGAATGTGCCTTCCACAGTCAGGGGTGTTCTGAGGGATGGGGGGCAGCTGGTTCAGGAAAGGGCAGGGCAGGAGCAGGTCTGGGCTGTTGCCTGAGGTTGGCTCTGAGGGATAAAAGTCCTGCTCAGAAAAGGCGTTCTCAGCAGATGTTAGCAGGTCTCCTGTCAAGGTCGCTTCAAGAATTCTTTCTTCAGAATGGCTTCAGCGAAAGCATGTCTGGGAGCCAGATGAACTTGAGGCCTTTCCCTAGCCTCAACTCTTGGTCTTGTAGAGGTTGCTTCATTCTCTTGTTCCATTTCAACAAGAGGGATGCTCCTTCAGGCATCCCGGGGAGTCCCTGCACAGAGCCTTCCCATTCTTTCAACTTCCCTTTTCCCGGCTCTCACAGCCCCTTGGAGTGTGTATTTGCAAACCTGCACCCTACCATCCCCAAGTTCCTCAGAGGTGGGCTTTAGTCTGTTCAGCTTTGTTTGCCAGTGCCCAACTCAGGGGCATGCAGGGTGGACAGGTGGTTCTCAAACCCTCCCTGTGCCTCAGTTGCCTGAGGTGAGATGGTATTTACAATGCCAATGCCTGGCATGCCCAGAGATTCTGACTCAACTGACCCTAGATCTGGACATGGGCAGTCTAAGCTCCCCAGGTGATTCTAGTGTGCAGCCATGATGGAGGCCCAAAGGAGACCCTTAATGAATCAACAAGGTGGCTCTGATAGAGTGACACCTCCTTCTTTCTCTTTTTGGTGGTGAGGATTCTCAACCCCTATTCATCCTTGGCATTTATCCATGGTTAATACCATTTGCTTGAGTCATACAACTCTTGGGGAACCAAGTTCTGGAAGGAGAGCTATTGGCAGGCATGCCTAGAACTGCACTGAGGAACTCACCCCATCTTAGGAAATCCCTGCCTGCAACAGACTGTGTGCCCTCATTCTCCTCCAGCTCCACTCCATGCCCGCCACGGTTTCCTACACCCTAGATCCCGGCTCCCAAACCTGATACTTGTCAGAATCCCTCACTGCAGTAGTAGTTACACATCAGACCTGTTGAGGGGTCAGATATGAGAGGCGATTTGTGTGTGTGTTTGTATTTAAAGCCCCCTCAGTGATTCTTTTTATGTATTTGCAGAGTGGGACCCACTGTCCCAGATCATCTCAGCTGGGCAGTCCATGTTGCTCAAAGCTCTAGGGGCCGCTCTGCCCTGAGGGACTCTGAGTCCTTGTGGAAAGCAGTTGTGGCAAGCCCGAACGGGCTGTGTGTGAGGGGCTGGGGCGTGGCGGGCAGGCAGTCCTGGTGGGGGGTCATGCACGTGGACAAGGTGCTTTGTGCCAAATTGGAACACACCCAGGAAGACTGAATAGAGCCTCATCCAGGGCAAAAATGGTGAGTGAGATCTGATCCGAAAGCAATTGCTGAGGTCCAGTCCCATATCCAGCACATTAAAGCTGTGGGACTCAGAGGAAGACAGTCTGGGACTTTGGCTTAGTAACATGATGTGAGCAGAGGAAGTTAAAGCTTTGTCTCCTTCTTTCCATGTCATCTACACAGGAAAACTAGAGAGAAGGACATAGAAATAGGAGATGAAGCAGATGTGAAAAGCCACCAGGGCTCTGAGAGGGGCGTTGCCCACTCCCTGTCACACAGCCACTGATCTCCCCCGTGGCTGACACCTGAAGCTCAACCAGCTGCAGTCTGTCACCAACATGAAGTTGCTCCTAGAGCACTCTTTGTTCCTTTAAAAATGATAAAATAGTACAAGCAAGCAGAAGAGTAAGGAGGAAGTTATCCCTGTGTCTCATGTGCTTCAGCTGAGGTTTTAAAAGATTAGGCCATTGTTAATCCTCACCTGTGCCATTTCCTGCCCTCTCCCTGCTCTTCTGAGATTGGTATTTGTGTTTGCCATGCATGTTTTTATACTTTGACTCTACGTGTAAGTATCCACACACTGTAGATGACATGGATTGGCAAGCTTTCAAGCTTTATTGAAATGCTGTCATACTGTATCCTTTGCATATTTTTCATTCACTGTTATGTTTGTGAGGTTTATCTGAAGATCAACTTATTATTTCTTCATTCTTTTTCTGATGGGTGCTAAGATTGTGTCTTGTTTTTTCCCCTATTAGAAATAATGCTACAAAATTATTTACAATGTATGTTCTGTAGCCATGTCCTTAAACACAGGTGTTCCTCTCTCTGTGATCATCACAGCTGTCAGACTTGCTCCCCGCCTGGACTAGACTCTGCTCTGGGATCACCTTCCTCAGCCTGGCAACTTGGCTCTTGAAGACCAAGCTGCACTTGAGGACCTGGTCTTACACCAGAATTCTCCCTGGGTCATCCTTGTCAGGGATTCCTATCCCACCTTGCCACCCACACCTGGCCCCTACTAAAGGGAATGTTCTTTGGCAGGAACAAAGGGCATGCGTTAGGTCACAGGGTGAGCAGACATCATGTGAATGGTCAGTTTTAACTGGACCTCAAAGGAGGCTCGGTTCCCAATGGTGGGGAGAAATGGGAGCGTTTTCTTGGTGAAGGGACATCAAGAGCCAGCATAGGCAGAGGAACATGGCAGTGTCTGAAGAGGACCAGGCAAAGAGCTGGCCACAGATGGAAGCTGAGTGCTGCTGGAGAGCGGGAGGCTGGATTAGTAACATCAGTGAGCTGTGGAGTTAAGGCTTTGTCTCCTCCACCGGATCACTCCATTTCAGCTTTGTGGAAGGAAGCGGCAGGTGGGGCAGTGCCAGTGGCAGGGGTGATGATGTCCTGGAGAGCTCCGAGGAGTGGCTCACCTGTGCTTCTGCGGTCTGTTTCCTCACTTTTCTCCATCCATCCAGTGTTGAGGCTCTGTGGAGCTGAGCTTCCTTTTCCCTCCATCACTCACATCCCACCTCCCATCTCCTGCTTCTGAGCAAGAGAACTCCAGGTTACTGGCCTCGGGCAGCAGTCCAGCTGTTACCAGTAAACTGGAAGCTGATGCCACTAACAAGACTTCAGGGAACACCAAGAGGCAGACCAGAGGTTTCCTGCGCTCCACTCCTCTTTGGCATGAGATTAAGGAAGCTCTCGGCCGGGCGTGGTGGCTCAAGCCTGTAATCCCAGCACTTTGGGAGGCCGAGGCGGGTGGATCACGAGGTCAAGAGATCGAGACCATCCTGGTCAATATGGTGAAACCCCGTCTCTACTAAAAATACAAAAAAATTAGCTGGGCATGGTGGCACGTGCCTGTAATCCTAGCTACTCAGGAGGCTGAGGCAGGAGAATTGCCTGAGCCCAGGAGGCGGAGGTTGTGGTGAGCCGAGATCGCGCCATTGCACTCCAGCCTGGGTAACAAGAGCGAAACTCCGTCTCAAAAAAACCCTTGCAAAAAAAAAAAGGAGGAAGCTCTCCAAGTCCCAGTCAGAGGTGCAGGAGACCAGCTTGTGTGGTGTGTGTGTGACAGGGGAAGGTAGGTGAAGTTTGGGAGCTCTTTGAAAGGCTTGGCTGGCCCTTGTGATTTCAAGTGAGCCTCTGCTGGGAGAAACAGGTTTGTTGTTACTGAAAGAACAAGGTTGGGTCCCAGGTTTCCTTTTGCCTTACTTGACAGCTCATAAAACTCAGCAGCAAATCTGAAATTCCAGCCGCATGGCTTGGAGGAAGCAGCCTGGGAATAGTTATCAGTTCCCCCGTCCTTGGTTTGACCTCTCTCCCTCCCTCCCTCCTCACACCAGTTGGAAATCATGAAGACAATCTGTTCCCAAGAGCAAGGGCGGAGGGTGGAAGGCTGGCTGGGCTGATGGGACCAACGCTTTGTCAGAAATGAACAGGCTCAGGCGACAGTGAAGACAGAGCAGAGGGAAACAGCTTTTGGCTTCATGCTTTGACAATGTGTCCTGAGACTGCGTGTGTGTATTTCTGCTCAGTAAATCCTGGAAGGCCAGCACAATGGGAGAATCCATGTTTCCAGTCTCCAAAACGTGCCAGGTAGTCAGAGTTGACAGTGGGCTACGTGAGAGACTGTGTGGTACTAGCCTCATTCTTCACGCTGCTGCTCTGGCCTTTGACTTTGCAGTGGGGAATTCCTTACATTCACAGATCCCTGGCCCCCTATGTGGGTGACCCAGGCCCTGGCATACACTGTGCAATTAACAAACGTCAGCTGAATGAATAAACAAAAGGGTCACTGTGCAATAGAAGGTTGTTTATTAAGCACTTACTGTGGGATCTCCTCAAGTCAAACTCATGAGAAAACGATTGTTTTTACTAGGCTCAGAAGGGTTAAGTGACTTGTCCAAGGCCTCATAGCTAGGACCACCTGTGTGTGGTGGGGAGTGTGTGAGAGGTTCATAGCATTATTTTATGCATTGCCCATTCTTGCACCTTCATCAAGTCTGTGAATTTGTGAATTTGCTGAGGCTGATAGGACAGTGTGGGATGTCCCTGAAAGTTGGAGGAGGTGACAGCAAGGTTGGGGGCCTTCCGTGTGGGTGTCTGCTGTGCCATGTATCCTGTAAAAACAGAACATTTAGGAATGGAAAGAGAAGCCCTTACGTATATGGAATAGGGAAGGCAGAAGACAGGAGGGACAAGGATGCTGACAGGGTCTTTTGCAGACATTTAGAACGGCCTCCTCCATGAGAAAGGAAAGAAGAAAGACATAAAAGAGAACAAAGCCAGGCCAACTCTTAAAAATTATTTAATAGAAAGTCCAATGTCAAAATGTAACAATAAACAAAAATACACATGTATAAATATGTATATATAATTAGACCTGTACACTTTCTCAGACCCTTTTCAAAATGGAATAGAATCATCATAACATCTTGGTGGTCAAATCAAAAATAATATTCAAGCGACATGGGCCCACTGCTGCGTGGGGGTTAGTACTGCTGGAGCACTTCGAGGGTTCAAAGAATTCCAGTCAGGAGAGAGCTGGGGATATTGCCAGTGTCCTTTTCTGAGACCCAGGGGGAAGATGAACAATCGCATGGCTCCGTCTAGTGTACCTGACCGTTGCTCAGCACCTGTAGCCACTCCTGTCTAGGGACAGCTCTCCTTTGGGGTTTTGAATTATTTACACTTATGTTGTTTGTGAGTGAGTTTTCTGGCCTCATCTCCCAGATTCGAAGTGCCGGGGGATTACGTCTTAGGACGTCCTTATTCTGCAGGCCAATGTTGCACGGTGGTTTGGGATGCTATTTGTTGTGCTGATTTGCTAAAGCGGGGTTGTTCAAAATGGGGTGTGCATACACCAGGGGGTACCCAAAGTCCTCCTCAGGAGTTCAGAGAGAAAATGCCAGAACCTCTGTGTGTAATATTTTGCATCTTATTCATTTAAAGTTTCTATGCTGTGTACTTTTTATAATGTGTCTAATAGTACACAAGTAAAGGCATATATGCTTTAAATCAATTAATAAACATAGTGCATCTCACCAAGTTTTTGCTGACAGGCATGTGCAATTGAGACAGATGGGGGCCCACCGCTTTGCAGAATTCACGTGCAGGCAGAGTGGTTAGGGAGGCCACCCTCCGGGCTCCCGAGCTCACCTGAGGAAGCCTCTGTGGGTGTTCAGAACAGCAATGCCCCAAGATACCTCTCAGACCTTATTGAGAGGTGATGCCTCATAATCTCGATGCTAGATATTCCTTGAATGTAAGGCCATGCTCCTAAATACAATGCAAGTCCCCTTGGGAAGAGCAAATATGCCATTAACAACTGGTATGGAGTCATTTTGATCCCTTCCTGGCAAGGAGGTGGAGGTGAGTGGGAAGTGGGCCAGGGCAGAGAATGGGAAGAGGGTGCCCTAAGGCAAACTTGGCTTATATTCCATGAACATGTGGCCCTAAGGAGACCTGCCAGGGCTCCAGTTCTTACATGGGTGAATGTGAGGCCAAATGGGTGTTGGTTTCCAGCATCAGGATTACCGCTGGACAAATTCTAAACACCTGGGCCTGTGGAATATCCGAGTGGGAATTTAGCCACAGAATTACAAATTCCTCAGTGACGGGCAGGAGGAGTATCTAGAAAAAGAGTGGGTGTTCGAGCTAACATCTTTCCAAGGGTCCAGAAGGCTGGCGCAACGTTGCTGTTGAGTATGCCAGGAGGGCAGGTGTGGGCGTTTTGCAAAAAATGCCAGCCCCAAAGAGCAGCAAGGCCCAGAGTCCCTTAGCTCGGAAAACTGCCTTCAGCCCCAACTCCTCCAGCCTCTCAGGGGAACTGTCTTCTGTTTGAGCTTTTTCTCGAGTTTCTGGAAACTGTGTTGGCTTACAGCTGGTATTCTGATGCAGCTAATTCTTTTCCCTTCTCCTAAACATTTTTGTAATTATTTTTCTGGGGTCAGGGAGGGGGAGAAAAAACCCAATGCTCTAAACTCTTGAGTAGGTTATTTGGAGAACCTAAAAGGCACTGCAAGTTGTCTCCATAGAGAGATTCTGCTCGTCTCTGAGCCTTCCCTGACTCAGATCTGCAGAGCTCCCAGCCCTGGCAGCCTCCAGGTGCCCACGAGGTCCTCTCTCCACAGCTGTCTAGACCTACGGGTATCCACTTGCATATAATTTGTCTGTGCTTTTTAAAACTCCCCTTTCTTTGGCAGGACTCGGGTGTGTATTTGGGACACAGCAGAGGCTTGGCCACCAGGTGTATGTGACCTAATCCAGGGGAAGGCTGTCCAAGAGAGCTGCCTTTGGTTAGGATCACACACTAGACAGGGAAGCCCTCTGCTGCTTCCCGTATATTTATTTTAGGGTGCATTCTCATCCCTGGGTATAGGCCAGCCTGGTCCCAAAAGGTATTTTTAGCCTTGGTGGCTCTAAAGAAGGCCATCCTGACCCAGAGCTGTCCCCTTAAGTGTCCAAACAAGATCCAGCCCAGGTTAAAGTCCTTGAATTCAAATAGCTTTTGGCAGAGGAAGAGGAGTTGAGGCTGTGTAAGGGACAGAGGACACCCTGGGATAAATCATCTCAGCAAGCACCCGTGCACTGCTGCAGTGAGGAAGGAAACCCTGGCCCTGATTGTGACCACACCTTACCTGTCTGGAGGACCTCAGCAGTGGGCTGCAGAGGACACAGCACCACCTGAAGCTCTTATTTATGCTCCCTGAATCCCCAGCAAAGCCCCGGGAACCCTCTGTGGCCGGCCCAGCTCACGGCCCTGTCCTCGTCCCTTGCTCTTCTCTCTCTCTCCGCAAGGCCAAGCTCCAGCCTCTGTACTGCAGGCTGGTCCTGGGCAGTCCACACTGGCCCTTTTGGGCTGAGTCCTATGCTGTTCTCTCAGCCTAGAAGTCCTTTTGTAACACTCTCCCTCAGTCCCCTGACACATCTGGGCTTTGATGCCGCCTCTTTCAGGAAGCCTGATTGTCAAAGCTGGGCTGGCTGCCACTGTGAGATGCTCCCACAGCACCCAGGACTTTTCCCTACAGGGCACTTCCATGCTGCCTCCCTCGCTATGGCTAGGTTCCTTGAGGGTGGGTTTAGTTCAGTTGTGCTTTGCTGGCAATTAGCACAGTGCCTGGAGTGTCCCAGGGGCTCCAGAAATAAGTGAGTTCAATGAATGAATCCTCAAGACTGGAAAGGCAATGCTAAAAATGCTACACCTGGGTCGGCCTAGATTAAGGGACCCCCAACTCTATACACTGGAGTTACAGCATCCCAGTGGAGCTGCTGCAATGCCACAGTCAAGTCCACAGGGATGAGGGAGAGTGTGTGAGACAGGTGGTGGTTGTATGTGGCTGGACCGGGCACGTGCCCTTAGGGATGTGTCCATTATGCATGTAAGGCCAGGAAAGGATGTCAGCCACAATAGCCCGGCCAGCGGCCGAGGTGAGTCAAGCAGATGGAGTAGGGCATCCGGGCACAGACGGGGCACAAGGTGAGAACCTAGTAGACCTCGATTCTCCCATGTGAGTTGAACTCAAACTTTCTCAAAAGTGATCGCTAGTTTTTCCTGTTTTGGTATCTCTGGAGTTACATTAACACTTTCCTAGACATTATCTTGGAGATTACAGAAAGGCAAAATACAGCTTTTTCTTGAAGTATTCCAATGATAAATTTTCTTTCTCCATGTATCTCTCTGTGTAAGTATGTATGCGTGTATCTGTGCATGTGTGTTAAAAATGGATCTGAATCTAAAGTCCTAACAAGGCAGCTGCCTGGATCTACTCCAGAAAAAGAGAAGGATAATTTTATGAATTTGCATCTTGCTTACAATGGAAAAACTGGCTTGAAATCGATTTGCTTGCCTATCAAGAGAGAACAGTCCCTGAAGGTCTGGACTGAAATGCCGGGACACACCAGGGGGTACTCTCTGCCTTTGGTGTCAATGCCAAGAGGCCCCCCACTAAGGCTCTAGAACTATTTTCAACCCCAAGAGTTGAAAATAGAGAAAACAGAGACTCTAAGGGGCCTCTGCCTGAGTTTATGGTGTTCTTTATACTGCCTCTAAGTCTTACTCAATCACGTTCAAAGACTTGGGCTAAAAATAACTCCTGGGAAGGAAAGAAGGGCGAAATCAGGGTAGAGAGGGCAAACTCTATCAGAATGGAGCCTTCAGTTTACAGGTGAATCTTCCAGAAATATAGCAATTTCTGTGGTTCCCAAGTTACAAGGGCCATTTCCCACATCATCTTGAAGGGACAAGACAGCTGCCAGGTTAGAACGAAGCAGGCTCTTGGAGGACAGATTTCAAAGGAAAACTGGACATGACAGGCCCTTTACACAAGGAGATTCTTTTGGTTCTTTCGAGCTAAGTAAGGGTGGGGGCAGGTCCCCTCTAGGCAGCACCTTTAACAGTTGCTATGGAAACATGAGTTGTCTTTAGAGAGTGTGATTTAAGAAGCAAGAAGAGGAACTCTGGTGAGTTCTTGGCGGGAGGGGGGGGTCTTCTGACCTTGGAACAAGTTCTCTAAGTGTCTATCCGTCATTATATGGCTATCTAAAACATGTACGCTCTTGAAAGAGATTCACATCTTGTTTCAGTGTTTAAACTGACCTGGAAGATACAGATCTCCAGTCCAAAGATCTAAAAGAGACATCAAGCCCTAGCCCACAAGAAAGGATTTCAATACAAGTTAGTGGTACAGGCGTTGGCTTTCCTCCATGGCTAGAGCTCCCCTAGACCTCCATGAAGGTTAAGGCTTTTAACCTTAAAAAGATACAACCTGTGATGAAACATCAAGCCTTGGGAACCCAGGAAAGAAATCACAGCCCTCACAAGCCTGTTCTGGTTGCATCTGGTATCTAGCTGCAGAAATACCTGTTCCTTTTCCAGATTCTAGAAGGATTCCAAGGAGAGAGATGTGTGCCTAAATTCCCGAAGCCTTTTCCCCGGGCACTGAAGTCCTCCTGTTAGCCAGTGGCCTCTCCTGGTGTGTGTGCAGCTCAGATGGGGAGGCCAAATAAAACACTCCCCATGAGGAAACCAAGCTGGTGAGGAGCAAGAGAGAGATTCTGGAAGGCAGATGCCCCCAGGGGTTGTTTTCACAGTGTTGCGAAGGACATAGTCAAAATAAAAAGAATTTGGAAAATACTTGAATGGCATCTTTCCTTCTTTCAACTTGGGCATTTATGTTGGATAGATGCATTACACACTTAAGATCTATTATTTAGAACATGTGGGTAATAGATCCACGTCACAGGATTATGAGGATGACACAAAACGATTATACAATGCCTAGCACAGTATCTGGCCCAGAGTGGGTATCAATGACAAGTATCAGCTCCTTTTTCCTCTTCTCCCAAGATTAGATTAGATTCCAGATAATAAGGTACAAGAGTCTCCTGGAAAACATGGCACAGCTTGTGAGTTCTACGGTTTGTCATAGAGGTACTCACCCACAAGCCTCACTTTGTACCCTAGCTTTTTGACCCCTTTCCAGAGACATACAAAAAGGTGACTGCTGAAGTTAAGGATACTATTCTCCCCTTGGAAAAACACATCCATTCATTGGCAAAAGGCAACTCATAGACCTCATTCATGGAATTCCAAAAGGTTTATTGCAGGCACGTGTGTAGTGTGATAGCCAACTGCCTCGCCCAGCTTCTCCCAGGCACACTGGAGTCCAGGCATCCACCCGTGACACTGGGGAGCCAAAGTTCCTGTTTCAAGTCACCTTTTTCTTATGCCCTTAAATACATATTCCGTCCCCACCAACCACGCCTTATTATATTGTTGGCTGGGGTTTTGACAAAAAGTCCAATCTCTGAGAGGTAGTAAGACATAAAGCTCTGAGAATGCCTTCCAGTGGGGAAGTGGGGAAGAGTGGTCTTACGTAAAATTATAGTGTGCCATCTAATATCCTTTTTCTTTTAGGGGAGGCAGGAAGGAGAGAACTTTAGGTACCAATTATTTTGCTTTTCATAAAGAACGTATCAGAGTCCTGAAGTCTAAGATTCCAACTCAGTATTTTCTTGGATTAAGAATTTGAAAATATTTCTTCCTTCAAAACTCAACATGTTTAACCATGTTTCTTTTCTACGACTAGTAGAGATAGAACACTTTTAAATTCTTGCCCAGTGTCAAAGCAGGACTTGTAATCCACATGCCAACCTGTGTCACAGGCTATGAGGTAAAGTTCGTAAGAGGTATCATCTCTTTTTTAGCAGGCTTATGGGAGAGTCTTGCTCTAAGAGAAAAACAGGGATGAGGCTGGGAAGAGGATAACGTTATAGCAGGATAAAGTTATAAAAGGATAACAGAGCAGGATAACATCACATGGGACCAAGAAGGGGGCTGCGTCATCCTGGGCCTGCTCCTGGGGGGCGTGGCCACTTCAGATGCCCAGGTGAGCCCTGACACAGACGTACTTCCTCGCCTTACAGTGATGGGGATGAGGACGGGGCCAGTGCAAAGACTGAAGAACCAGCTCTCCTCCTGGGCCCAAGTTGAGTCATCCCAGCTGAGGCTCAGATCATGGGGACTGCGGACAGAGAGAGACCTGTCTCCCAGAGGACTGCGTGGCTGCTGGAGTAGCTGAGGGCTGACCTAGTTTTTTCATCTCTGGACTTTATACCTTCTTTGTCCCTAAATAAACCACAACACCACTTTGTGTTCTCTGCAAGCCTGGGGCTAGGAACCATCGCTGAGGTAAAGGCCTTTTTTAAGGTTCTCTGCCAGTAACAAACATGTCTTCAATTAGGAGAGCAGTACTCCATGATCCTGAATCTCTGCCAACCAAAAGAAAGCTGTGCACACACTGCTGAACTTTTACAACTCTACAACTCAGAGGCGTAAGGCGTGTGTGAGCCAGCTGTAAATCTCCTTGACAGTCTTGCCCCACCCACTGGCTGCTAGGCAGCTGGATTTCCAATTTCACCTGCACGTGGCCAGCCTATCAACCCTCTCTGCTTAATGCTCTCAGTTCATTCCTCGTCGTTTTTCTACCCCTACTCACCAGGCCACTTCTCCTCCCTTCCTCCTTCCAGCTTCCTGGGCCCTACCGAGATAACAGCTAGCAGAATGCACCAACACATACACTGGATTATTCTTTTCATTGTGACTGAGCCAATCTACTTTATGTTCAGACACACATAGGGGAAAAAAAAGGCAAAATATTTCGCTTTAGATCCTTTCAGAAGGCATAAAGAAAATAAAGTATAAACACGAATCACTTGACAATTTTATGATGAAAACCAACAAATGGAAAACAGACACTGTTGGGTGTTGCTGACACAATCAAGCATTTCATGCGGACCTACTCAACCACCCCATTTCATGGATCTGTTTCTGGCTGTATCAAATGTGTCTGGAGATGAACTCACTTTTGCACATCAAAGATGTATCCAGTGTGAAACACCAGAGCCAGAACCTGGGTGAAAAGCTGTTGGTTCAGGTCAACACCATTTCCGGTTTTATTAAACACTCAAAAGTCAGGTTCCCAAGAAACGCTTGGATCTATGCACGTGTGTAACATGTCAAAAGGGTTCAACGTGACCATGAGAAAAATGACATGAGCATGTTTCATGTTTGGGTAGAGGGTGGTGGTTTTCTGGGAAGACACTGTCTGAGACACCCAGTGGAGAAATCAAATGGAAGGCGTTTAGCCTGTGCTTCATTCTTGCTTAATAAGAACAAGAAATCTCGGAAAAGGTCATCCACAGAACAGGGAACAAAGTCCCCAGTGAACAAGTTTGAGGTGGGGCTTAGCAGTTCGTTTACAGTTGTGGAAAACTATTTTAGTCACTTGGCCAAAAACCATACGAGGGGAGGGAACCTGAAACCCTAGACTACTTGACTATCCCTGCACTTTTCCTGCTAGAAGCCGAATAAAAAGCCTAAAATTTTGGCTGCATCTCTATTTATGTAACAGCCACAGCTGCTCCCCAAAATAGCTGCTGTTGGCCAAAAGAATTAAGGGATTTTGTTGCTAATATGTGAATCTATTGTCCATAGCACTCAGTTCTAAGTTTCCTTCCCTTCCCTTTTGCCACCCCAGGTCTAAAAGGAGATAGGGAATCTCACTATTCGCACATCGATGGTGTCATCGGTTGTGTGGATCGATTTTAAAGTCAAGGCTCATCTTTTCGGCAAGAGCAAACTGACACAGAACAGCTTAATTCTCCACCTTCTGTGGGTGGCAGTGTGGCTAATATCAAGGCCCTTCAAAATCACAACCCCAAAAGAGAAACATACAGGCTCCTGTGTTTGTGTGGGCCAAACCCAAATCCGGACTGCTGGCATGGCATTTAATAAGATGCCCTCCCCTGAAAGTAACAAAGAGAACCCTCGTCAAAGCTATCAAACACATTAAAAAAATACAAAAGTTATTTTCTCCTTTTGATTGCTATTTACTTGTGACAATATTTGTTAAAAATATCACTTCTGTCTTTGAGAAGAGATCATTCTCTTCATATAGTATGGAAAAATAAACTCTGCTGAACACTCGGTCAACATTCCCCCACCACGGCCAGGGGCTTCTGGCTTTCACATCTCCAAATATCATCATTAGCATAAAAGTCTTATGTTTTTGAGTAGGCAAACGCTTTTCCTGTATCTAGTGTGCTGGAAATAAGAGAAAAAGGAAGTGGCAAGGCTCATGTAGCATTTTGAAGGGAGAGAGTTATGAAAGAGGATGGTTTATTTGCTAACAAAATGAAAGGTAATAAGAAGGTTTCAGGCCCTCCTAAAAAGTCATAGGATCTCCCCTTACCTCTTCAGGCCCCTTACATCCTTGCTAATGCTTGGTAGGTTATTAATGGAAGGGTAGGGAGCCCTTTAGGCTAATTATCGCTGTCAATGCAAAGGAGGGCTCAACTTGTGCACCCAGGATCATCTTAAAACACTGAGCTGGATGAATGGGAGAAGACAAGGATCCATAAAAACAGTAAAATGTTTATTTTCTTAGAAAAAAAAGTGAGGAAGAGGGATTGAAAATGATTGTGATCACACTTCCATCTGCATCTGAGCAAAGCCAATGCTGCAAGCTCAATCCTTGACTAAGATACCTATTAAATCAAACAACCTGCCACTCACTCCTACATCACTTCCAGGAGTCACATCACACCATGCTTCTAATTGATAATGGTTTCTCCACTTCTTCAGAGCAGAGGAACAAGGCTTGCCATAGCAACCATCCCAACTCCAAAGCTCAACACTGCCAGCAAGAAGCAAGGCTCAGTCCATCTCTAGACTGCGTGCGAGAGATGGGGAGGAAGGAGAGAGGGCAGGAGATGCTTGTCTTAGAAGCAGAACCAGTTTAGAATAGAAGTTTGATATCTGAGTTCACCACTACCTCATCTTATAGAAAATAGGTTGGAGAGCATCTGTAAAACCAACAGTATCTTTAAGGTGAAATTGCAGAATTTTGCTGCATACCTGGACACAAGAGAAGTGAAAAGTTGCAACAAGTTTTAACTAGCAGCAACAAAGAAAGTTCAATAACAGTTTTTTTTTTGTTTGTTTTTAGCAATATTCCTTTGCAAGTTCATTAAGAAACACTGTAATTTAATGGGGCGTACGATATGGAACGATCTTCTTTTGCTATAGTGCTGTTCGCTGAATAGAACCGACCTTTGCAAAGATTTCAACTGGGGTGTAACCTATTTACACAGTAGTAGCTCCTGGTTTGAGTGGTAAAATTGGTGCTATGTGACATCCTCTTCTTCCGAACAGTAATCCCGACCCTTGGAAGGAGAAAGAAGAAAGAGCATGTGAATGAGAAATTCAAAGCAGAGCCTGAAATAGTTACCTGTAATCAATTTTCTCTCAGTATATGTCTCCTTGCAGTAGAATCCAGCCTTTGCCAGTGATAGCTGGCACAGGGTAGCTACGTCATAAATACAAGTTAACCAGTTTAATAAGCTACCGATACCTCAATGCATGAGAGTTCTACCCAGCCCCAAATAAGCCCTTACTTCATGTTGGTAAGAATTTATATTATAATAGGCATATTCAAGAGTCAGCTTTTCACTAAGAAATTACCAAATGGCCAATCCATTCAGGAGATCAATTTCTCATCAGGAAGAATGAACAAGCCACGTTCTACAGCTACATCCCCGGGCCTGAAACTCAACATTTACAGAGGGAGAGTGCACAATCCAAGGATGCCCGACTTTAATTCGCTCTAAAATGAATTACAAAAAAAACCCAACAAACGAGAATCCTTTAAAGATGCATAACGGGTCTACGCTTGGTATGTGTGCGATGCACAAGAAAGGCAAAGATGCTTCTGATTCATTTGCTAACAAAACAGGCGATATGAAACTCTAAGGACTACGTACAACGGTTACCTGTGAACACATTTTATCCTCTCTCCTCGGGTCATAAACTCAGTGAAGGCATGACTGGGCCTGGGCTTGAATGACCCACATTTAACCAAGCCGGCTTGTGCTGGCCAAAACACTTGACTCTCTGGGTCTGTAACCAATCGCAGACAGTAAACAACAAAAGCTCCTGCCCTACCTGTGTCCTGATGTCGTAGATAAGGGTTTTGTAAAAAGTCAGGTATTACTATTTGTATTCTTCAACTTTTTCTTTTAAAACACACACTACATGTTTCATTTTTTTTTGGGGGGGGATGTTCTTTTAAAAGCAGAATTCTCTAAGTAACTGAAACCTATTTCTAAACATACCAATACTTAAAAATAATTTTGCATGACAGAAATATTTTACATTTTCCTAATATTTAAGCATTATCAAAATGGGTTATTTTATGGCATGTCGCTGGGCGCTAATCTTGGCTCTGTGACATGTAGCTCTGGGATCCTGATAAAATTACCTCTCTGCATCTCAGTTTCTTCATCTGTAAAATGAAGAGAACAACAGTATCTACACAGAATTGCTGAAGATTAAACGAGTGAATAGTAATAAAGCGATGAAATCATTTCTGGCACATACACATGATGTCTATGTGCACATGCCTGTGTGTATTTGGAAAACTAAAAAATGCTGCCTGCTGGGCGCAGTGGCACACACCTGTAATTTCAGCACTTTGGGAGGCCAAGGTGGGTGGATCACCTGAGGTCAGGAATTTGAGGCCACGCTGCCAAACATGGTGAAACCCTGTCTCTACTAAAAATACAAAAGTAAGCTGGGCATGGTGGCGGGCACTTGTAGTCCCAGTTATTTGGGAGGCTGAGGTAGGAGAATGGCTTGAACATGGGAGGCAGAGATTGCTGCGAGTTGAGATCACAACACTGCACTCCAGCCTGAGTGACAGAGCGACAGACAAAAGAAACCCTGCCATACAATGAAGTCTTCAGGCCTGTGGAAGCCGCAGGGACTGCTCACTCCCCTGCCGGCTGGCCCCAGATTGCTGCTCCCTTAGAATGGGATTCACCCCTTAGGATGTTTTGGTTTTCTCCACCATCAGACTGCTAACTCCCACCCCTGCTGCTTGCTGAGTGTCTGGGTCCAGTGTCATCTCTAGGCTTGTTTTAGTTGCTGTATAAAATCTCTCCTGAGCAGAGCAGCTGGGCAACCAGCCTTCCTGAGAACAGGAGTGTGTGCTTGGCAGTCATCCCAGAGGCAGCCTCCCTGGCGATACTGTCTAAGCAGATGCCATCCCCAGACTTGCCCCAGACCACTCAGGAGACACACTCTGAGTCACATACTGGACAGCACCAAAGAACTTCAAGGTCCCTGGCCACTGGGGTTTTAGTCTTTAATATGGGGAAAAAAGACACATAGAAAAGTCCACAGACCCCCAACTCATGAGGCTCATGGAGGAAACTTTTAAATGGACCTGAGTATTCAGCTGGAGAGGAAAGGCAGGGCTCATGGAGTGTTCCTGAAGGTTTTATTAGGAAAGGAAAGTGAACATCTCCAGTATATATATGTACATATACACTGTTGTTTGACATCGTGCATATTACTGGGCTTTGGTTTCCTGGGGATAATCATGGTCTCCATCCCATAGGGTTACGGTCAGGATTAAATGGAAAAAATACCGTGTCTGGCAAAGTAGTCAATAAATGTTAGTTGCTGCTACTATTATTGTAATTGTTGTTATTATAAACCCTGTGTTTGTTCAGTCCCCTGACAGGGGAACAGGGACCTCCTTCCTTATTGGCCATCAGGTGACTAAGGACTATAACCATCAACTGTCATCTGATAGGTGTCAGGGAACTCTTCCTCCCACCTCAGCCTTGTACCCCAGACAGGCCAGAAATCCATGTACACGAAGAAAACTCCTATGGTAGAAACCAAAGTCCCTTTACTACCTGTGACTAAAAGACACCTCGAATCAAAGCGAAGTCTCAGCCAGCCAATGTGGGGTTTAGAGGGTGCCTCATCCATGAGGAAGAACTTGAAAGGAATGGCAGACAGATACACACACACACACACACACACACACATGCGCGCACACACACACACACACGTGCATACATGAAAAATGGTGTTCTCATTGTCTTCAACTCAGTAAATGAGCTTCTGGGTTATGCAGCAGCAGTAAAGGCTCTCCCACCCTACCTTTTGAGGGACAGATACAATATAAACCCTTTTTGTAAACACAAGACTCTGCAGCTTTCATTTCCCAAACATTGGCTACTCTGAAATTATTATCATTACTATACAAAGGAGGAAGAAAACAGCATTAGCTGCTTTGCGGATATGATTTCACTTACTATTTGTATCAGTCCTGCAAGGGTAAGAGGGGTAAGAGTGAAGCCCTGATATTTGTGGGGAACGCTCAGAGAAGTGCAAGCCCACTGGGCTGGTCCTTGCCTTTGTTACAACTGTAGTGATTTGATAACTAAATTCAAATTCAATTCAGCTTCATTTTTACTATCACCTGTTTCAGCAGCACTGAGAAGCAACTGCTTTGGTAATAAACTTTGAAATCAAAACACACTGAAAATAAGATATGGCCATAAGCCATCCGGCCATCCGGTGCCGTTCTAAGAAGGGAGACCTGAGGACGGTGGATTACCTTGTACAAATGACGGTAGGGTAGGGCGAGGATGAAGGGAGGTTGGTTAAGAAGGAATAAATTCTAGTGCTCAACAGTACAGTAGGGTGACTAGAGTTAATGGTAATATATTGTATATTTCAAATTAGTGAGAAGATTTGAAATGTTTCCAGCACAAATAAGTCTTTGATGTGATGCATATACTAACTACCCTGATTTGAGCATTACACACCATATGCAAGTGTCAAAACATCACAGGTATCCTATAGATACGTACAATTACTATGTGCCATTTTAAAAATAAATAAGTAAATAAAAATAAAGGGGATTTGAGAGAGTTGTCATGGGAGGGGCCCCATCTCAGCATCACAGGGGACCCCATCTGCACACTGGCCCTACTGGGCAGGACAGGGAACCTGCTTCTGTAACATGACTTCATGTCTCATTTACTTTTTAAAGAACTGTGCTACAAAGAGGTCCTTAAGACCTTCAGCTGTCAGAAGGCAGGAAGTGGGTGCTGTGTGGATACACAGCAATTCTTTGCTGAAGTATGCCCTCCCCCCTTAAAGGAACCCCAAATGGACGTCTTTGACAGGATGCTTTACTCAATTAGAACTGGAGAGTCTTAGTCACAATCCCACCCTTGGGCAAAGGACACACTGAAAGCTGCAGAGAGCAAGATCCCCAGGAGATCCTCGCAAGCTGGAAGAACAGAAACTTCTACTGATGCTGACAGAGAAGGGTTGTTTGAAAGAACCATGAGTGCCTTTGGGTGCAGACTCAAAAAACCCCAAGGAACCTTTGCCTACCAAAATTTTCCAACCACACCCCACTCTGTGTAGAGGCTTCCATGTGTTCTTCAGTTATTGGTATTATTATCCGCCTGGAAGTGCAGGTGATGTCAATGCAGAACACACATTGCTAAGGTTCTAAGACAAGGGGTTTTTGTTTGTTGAAGTGTCTATGATAAGAATTAGAGATATTAAAGAGTAGCAAAGGAAAGGACATTATCCTAATTTTAAATCCTGCTAGTTTAAAGAGTGACAGCTCAAAGAGTGACTTTAAGAAACTGTTCTTCCAACATGCCTAAAGTACTTTTCCTCCACAGGTTTAAAACAGACAAATAGTCTAAGCCAGAGGTCCCCACTCCCTAAGCGATGGGCCGCTCCTGGTCCATGGCCTGTTAGGAACCAGGTCACACAGCAGGAGGTGAGCGGCAGGTGAGTGAGTGAAGCTGAGCTCTGCCTCCTGTCAGATCAGCGGCAGCATCGGATTCTCATAGAAGCGTGAACCCCACTGTGAACCAGGTACTCATGGGATCTGGGCTGCGCGCTCCTTATGAGAATCTAATGCCTGATCATCTGTCACTGTCTCCCATCACTACAGATGGGACCCTCTAGTTGCAGGAAAACAAGCTCAAGGCTCCAGCTGATTCTACATTGTGGTGAATATGTAATAATAATAGAAATAATAAAGTGCACAATAAATGTAATGTGCTTGAATCATCCCGAAACCACTCCCACCCCGCCCTACCCAATTCCCCATCCATGGAAAAACTGTCTTCCACAAAACCAATCTCTGGTGCCAAAAAGCTTGGGGATTGCTGGTCTAGGCCTTGCCATTCGGTGTCAGGTATGAGTTTATCATAGAAGTTTTTAGGATGTTTCTGTAGACGTATCTGCATTCAGTCCAAAATACACACCCCTCAGTCATGTAACTATCAGCTGTGAACTGAGTGTTCTCCCACTGGAATAGACTAGATGCAAGTGACTG